CCCCCCCACCCGGGGGCGCAGGAGCAGGAGACCCATGAACAAAGATTTGTTCTCCGCGACGCCGTGTTCCCGGGAAGCCAAAAAAATCAAGGTTTTACTTCGGCCAAGCTCAGCACACACAGCTGTGTGCCAGGCGAAGGGGTGGGGCAGGGGCACATACGTCTTCGCGCAGGTGACACAGTCGCGTCTGGGAGATTAATTGTGGCGCCCGGAGGACCTGGCCCCTGAGCTTGCCGAGCGCGCGAAGGGGAAATATACACAGTATAGCCTTCCCTCATACGAGTAGTCGGCGGGTGTTTGGTGTGCACAACGGTGTTCTCAATGCACGTGTTTCCCAACCGACGCCAGTCAGAGCGCCTGCAACGCGCTGGTTAGGCCAACCCGCCAAGCAGCTGTGTTGAGACTGCGGCCCGCCCGGCGCCCGCCCGCCCGGCCGGCCGGCCGGCCTTCAGCTCCCAAGTGAAGCGTGGGCTGTGGCAAGAGAAGATTAAGACGCTGAAGTCGACGACCCCGACTTCTTCGATAGAGACCGTGGTCTTGTCCGCGGTCTTGTCACAATAGTCACGCAGGACTAGTCCTGAGTCCCACAGCGTTTAAAGTTCACTCATTCTAAATTACTAAAATATTCGCCTCCTATTATTATCTTCGTCGAATTGTTTTTTAAAGAATGGTTTACTGTCCTAAAACAACGAACGTACTTTCTGGGGCAGCGCAGTCATTCAAACAGCCCGCCCCACGCTTCGTCGACCTCGTACTCTGTCCGGCCGGTAGAAAGCAGCACAACACAGGCTGCACAAAGAACACAAAAACTGAAATTTCTACTCCATTGTAACATTATAACGGTTGCGCCCACGCCGCTCTAAAACTGGATTTTTTTCTCTGGTATAAATTCTCCGAGATCTTGTTGTTGCTTATTTTGGCCCTTGGTATAATCTTTTTAGGGGGTTGGTACGATCAGCCACAGCCCAGCGCCCACCGCGCCGCGCGCCGCGCAGATCCCAGTTCAAACAAAACTTAGGTCACACTTCTTTATTTCCTTCCAGCTGATCTCTCAAGAGGTGTCAGCTTTTTGTCGCTAGATTCCTAGAGAAGTGCAACGTCGTTAATGACTTTTTTGAGCTCCAAGTTGCTCTCAACAGCTTTGCGACTGAGTTTCAACAAGATGATAGGTAATTTTGTTAGAGGTTAGGAGTAGCAAGGGCCGCCTTTACTCCCTCACCACATCGTTATAATTTCCAGGTTCTAAGGTACTGTTGTCAACTGCTCCTCCCGTCAAGGCTCCCAGCTCCAACAAGAAGAATCACATGATTTGGTTCGACTTGGAGGTACACATCCACCCTCTGCCCACACTTTGCATTTAAAATTCTCCGCTCTGTCACATGTTTTCCTTTGCTTTCTCTACTGGGACAGTTCTTCAGTTTTGACGCTTTTTGCAGATGACTGGCTTAGACCCCACAGTTGACCACATTATGGAAGCTGCTTGTCTTATTACTGATAGTGAGTTAAATGTCATTGGTGATGGCGTCAACATCATAGTCCACCAACCCGATGATATTCTAAATAAAATGAATGATTGGTGTAAAGATCATCATGGGAAGGTATGTAATAGATTTTCTTATTTTTCAAAAACCTATTCGGTAATAACATTTCTGACAATCTTTTTTTATATCTTTTTTTTAAAATTTCAGTCTGGACTAACAGAGTCCTGTAAAAAAAGTATTATATCATTATTGGAGGCTGAAGACTCTATTCTTTCATACTTACAGAAGCATACCATCAAAGGTAAGATGTAGTTTTATTGTAACTTGCAAGATAGTAAATCTTTTAAGGATAATTTAAGCCTGTAAATATTTATAATGAAACCCTTGTTTCTGGCCTATTTTGCCATAACATACGCATTGAACGTACGCGCCATCTTATGTAGAAATATGAACACCAGTTTTCACGCTAGACATAATTTAGATTTGGTTATTGTTTTCCTCAGTTCAATATGATTACCACGTTTAAGGTTGAGAACATTTTGTTGATTTCCATGTTTGTTTGTTTTTATACATGTATTTTTATTATTTTGTCTTCAGGTGCTTCTGTGTTGGCTGGAAATTCTGTATATATGGACAGGATGTTTTTGATGAAGTACATGCCGAGAGTAAATGAACATATGCATTACAGGATTGTGGATGTATCTAGTGTAAAAGAACTGTGCAGGTAAAATTTAAGTTTTTTTCATGCTCAAACTCTTTTTGTTAATCTGGAGGGTAGTTATACTTTGATAACATTCTTTCTTCAACTTTCAGAAGGTGGGCACCAAAAACCTATGATGCCACTCCAAAGAAGAAACTTGCCCACAGAGCTCTTGAAGACATTAAAGAGAGCATACAGGAACTCAAGTATTACAAAAATCATTTATTTAAACCAGAATAGGTAAAATGCTGTTATGAAATAAATTTGGAAGAACTCTTTCATTGGTTGATTCTTATATTTTGGTTCACATATTACGTAGTGGCAGTTATGTCACATTTCATTACCATTCAAATGAGTGGAGAAAATACTTGAACAGAAAGCAATGTCATTTGGAAACAGTTTTGTAGAAAAGCTGATACAAACCCTTATAACCAGGGGTCCGTAACTTATCGCATAAGCAAATTTTAGGTATCCGTATCTCGTAAACGGCTTGCGTTCTTGGCGTTACGCATCTTATGACTTGTTCTCCTGCGCATTTCTGAAATTTGTCATTATATGCACGCTTTTAACTAGCCAATAACGCGAGATAATGGTTAAACGTTTAGCTTAAATGATAAGTTACGGACCCCTGCTTATCACACATAATAGCTTTATAAAACCATTAGTTTGTCATAATTTTACAGAAATTATTTCTAAGCATACAAATGTTTTGGTATGCCTTTCACAATTGACATTTTCTCCCGCACCTGCAGTAATGGTCATTGATCAATGGGCACCATAAGATTTCTAGACAGCCTAAAATAAAAGCCGACTGATAACTTTGATTAAATGTGTCACAATTTATGGGTTTGGTTCGATAGTCTTTTGTGTGGTAGTCATACCTCCGCTCCCCCTGCCCCTCCTCCAATAAGCTCTCCAGTCCTCCCCTTTTAATTGAGGCTTGACGGTACGGTATCCCCCTTCCCCCCCCATCCCCTCCCGTGCCATCGACCTGAGGCTGAGGCCAGGCAGCGGAGTGGAGTCGCGGACATGGACAATCATGGGGAATTGAGACGGGGGGCGTCGGGTCGGAGGGTGACCTCCACGCCCCCCCC